TTGGGGATTTAGAGTTTAGGGTTTAGGGAATGGGTTTGTTTTAGGGCCTATATGGTTGGAAGCTCAATACCTGCTGTGCAATGTCACAGAGAACTCATTGTACCCTGCATTGCGGGCTTGTCCTTGCTAGGTAGGAGGGAAACAAACCCCTTATAACCCGTAATCCTTCGGGGATCATGCGATAAAATTGAAACATGTTGGGTCAAGACAGAGAAGATTAGCATGGCGTCTGCGCAATTATAACACGCACAAACCGTGATGTGCAATATAGCGGCCTTAAGAATTACCCATGCTATTCTTCGGGCTCCTTATCGTACAATATACCCCAAAACCCTATTCTAACTATTAAGGCCCCTACATTACCAAGTCCAAGCCCTAAGCCCTAAAGCGCCCGACCTGCAAGCGAGACTTCGGCAGGTTTCTAAAGAATGAGGTTGACCTGGGCGCAGCTTTGCAGAAGAAATGTGATAGCTACCTTGTAGGGTTTAAGGTTTAGTGTTTTGGGCTTATAGATTTTCGGATTTAGGGTGTAGGGGATTGGTGGACTGGGACTGGGATAATGGCTGAAGGTGCAGTTCTTCTAGGCTTCCAAGACGCAAATGTGTTTTTTCCATCATCAGGGCAGGCCCAGCTCGTGTCCAGAATGGCCTGGTGTGGGGTTTAGCAGTCCTTAAGGACGAAATGAACCCCAAAAGGTTTTAGGGTTCATACACCATATAGGGATTCATAGTATAAGGGCATAGGGCCACTACTTTTTAAGGGTCATTTCGTCCTTAAGGCTAGGTGGGTGCGGTGGGTGTCAAGTGTCTTGAAGCGGTCGAGGGCCTTGTGCATGGTGCTTGCAATCTTAGACTAGTTTGCTGCTGCAACCAATAAGGGGAGTCCAAACGTTCAAAGATGCAATCTACCTCAGAAAGACCGCAAGTATTCGGGTGTTGGGGCCTATGGCATAGGACATCATAGGACAGTTGTTACATGGACGAGGGGCCCGCCCGACAAGAGCTATTCTCGTTATGAGATTTGAAGAATAACGGTTATAACTACTAACATTTGCTTGATGATAAGGCCCCGTACTTCATTGTTACTGTGTGTTATATATGTTTCTCAATGTTATTCGCTTATGCGTATGCTTATTCGTGATATTCCTACTACTGCTGCTGGTGCTGCTGCTGCTGCTGCTACTACTACTACTACTGCTGCTACTACTACTGCTACTACTACCACCACCACCACCACGACTACGACTACGACTACAACTACGACCACGACCACGACGACTACTACCATTATACAAAATACCATGAACATGTGTATTCTCAGCGTTGTTTACTAGTGTATGAAGATGACTATAACTGTTACTACTACCATCACCCTCTTGATTCTTTTCACAAGGCACCCTAAACCCACAACCCTAGACCCTAAACCTCGAAACCCCTAAGCCCTAAACCCCTAAATCCTGATCCGTTAAACCCCTAAATCCTGACCCCCTAAGGTGGCTTTCACAGTTGGCAGCTCTCAGCTTCCTGGCGGCTTCCGCCCAGCCCTGGCTTTGCGCCGTGATGCCGAGGATTGGACTTTTGAGGGATCTAGGGGTTCAGGGTTTAGCGTTTGGGGGTTTTGGGTTTTGGGTTCTCTCTATGCGGCTTGGGTAAGTCTGCAGTGCCCCAAAGGTAGACTGATCGTAACGTAGTTACTGTAGTTTGAACGCGGAATCTGCTTGCCAAAGTTTACTTGCCTTGCCCCTGTGAAGATTGGCATCTGTTTCGAGTCCTTAGTAAGGGGTGCACGTTGGTGAGCCAAACCCTGTCGACGGCCAATCGAGCAGTGGTTGTTGCAGAGGAGTGCGAATCCATGCAAAAAGTTTGACTCACAACGAGGGCCCACAGGACACTCAAGGTGTGTGCAGGAGGGACAGACAGAGAGAGCGAGAAGTGTATACATATATATATATATGTGTGTGTTGTATATGTCTATATCTATCTGCCTATATACATATATACAAGCACAGGTCGTCTTCTTGATTCTTGAGGCCGAGAACAAGAAGTTTCTCCCCCTCTCTCTCTCTCTCTCTCTCTCTCTCTCTCTCTCTCTCTCTCTATAAGTACAACAAACAAAAAATGCATAAACATACATACATACATACATACATCATCCATCCATCCA